GTTGTTCGTTAAAAAATTTCCTATGATTTAAAAAAAAAAAAAAAAAAGGTGTTGTTTTCTCAGCATCTGTCGTGTTCTTTATACTTATTTTAGGGAACACTGAATACAACAGATGCAAGACATTTACTTACCTCTGGCAGAAGCAAAGCCAATGGCACATATTTAAGAGTGATGGGTAGCTTTTGGCTTGTCTGATGGTTCCCGGGGCACCCACCAGAGCCTCGAGGGCTGATGCTGGCCTTCAGGCCTCAGTGATGGTCCGTTTGACCACTGCAGGACTGGGCTACCCAGGGAACCTACTGCGATGGTGGGGGTTTGACAGCTATCCAGGAAAACAGTGCCGCAGGAGGTGCAGATTCCCTTGGTTATTAAGATTTCTTTTAGGTGGAAAAGCAGGCCTGGAATTAGTATGTTTGTCCAGCCTGCGAAGCTACCTGAGCATTAACCTTAAGGGTTTCTGATGATGAACAGGCTGGATTCAACAAATGAATCTATAAAACCCTAACATCTGATTTTTCTGTACTTTTAAAGTGTATGTTTGCTACTGCAATAAGGCCCATACCAAATTCAATCAACATATTTTTTTCCTTTTCTAGAGAATCTCTTTAATGAAAAGTTAGTGCTTTCTTCTTAGCAGCTAACTGAACTGTCACAACTGAGCTACAAATGTTTTTCTAGGTCAATTTAGCCTATGCCTATGAAACAAAGGATGCACTGTGCTTAGTTCTGACCATCATGAACGGAGGGGACCTGAAGTTTCACATCTACAACATGGGAAACCCCGGCTTTGAGGAGGAAAGAGCGTTGTTTTATGCAGCAGAGATTCTTTGTGGCTTAGAAGACCTACACAGGGAAAATACGGTGTACAGGTAAGCAGTCCCTGCATCCTCCCTGCTCGCTGCAGCTCAGATGGCTCTGTGCTTCGGCTGAAATTTTGCAGAGCCCTGTACAAATGCAGTATGATTCAGTAATCATGGAAGGAAGCAGTCGCTTCGCTAAATACATCCTGTCTAAATTGCACAGGACTAACACAAAGCTCCTCAAACCCTACCTCAGCATGCGCTGGGTGACATCATAGAAAATGATAACATTTCCTTTAAGGGGATTTCGTTAAGGAATCTAGTTTCTACTTGGTATGAAATGGAGATCATTCTAATCAAGCCTCTATCTTAATTAATTAGATTATATTGCATTCGGGGTTGTGGCATGGCAGATGTGGAAAAGCCATCTCTCCTGCCCCAGAAGGAGCGCGATTAGCGCGAGAGGGGGTCTGAGACACAGGGAGTGGATTTACGCTCCAGGACGCGAACTGGTCTGACTGGATGGTGCCGGCGGGG